TGGTGGAATTGCTTAACAGGTTCGAGTAGATCCCATACAAATCTAAAGGCTTATTCTTAATGTTTGGAAAAATAATAAAGTCAGGTTCATGAAACTTGGCAGTTGTGTGTCCGATTATAGATCAGATATATTTGTGAAGTTTTGGTGGAATTGCTTGGCAGATTCAGGTACTTACCATACAACTCCAAAGGCTAATTTTAAATATTTGGAAAAATTATAAGGTTCAAAAGCTAATTTTAAATATTTGGAAAAATTATAAGGTCAGATTCATGAAACTTGGCAGTCGGATGTCCAATTATAGGTGAGACATGTCCGTGAAGTTTCTATAGAATGATTTCAGAGGTTCGAGTAATTGCTACACAATAACGAAAGGTGCAGGGTATAATTCAATCGGTTTATACCGACTGAAACGTTTTTACTTGTTTTAAATAAATTTTGGTATTATTTTTTTCAAATTCCACCTTTGTTTTATACCAAATATTACAAATGAAAGAAATAATTTATTTATAAAAATTACCTATCTTCATTTTATTTAATAACACAAAAAATTAATATAATTATTCACTAAATTTAAATTAAAATTGAATTTTAAACAGCAAATAAGTTATTTTACTGCTCAGCGACACAGCCTTCCCGTACGAAATTTATATATGAACCAAAGAATGCTTTAATCTCATTTTTTATAAAATCTTATTCAATAGACACAAACACAAAAATATTAACATGTCTTGTACATTATAGGAGTTTATGAATAGGTTAAAATTTTGTCCACAAATACAGACGCACAGTATAATTACCAGCAAAAGCTGTGTCTCATGTAAGACTTTTAAATACATAGAAGTACAACAATAAGTTTGTTGATAAACAAGATTATTTTGTTATATTTGGCTCATGTGAATTTTTAAAGAGAAATATTAAACTACTCTTGAATGTTCTTCAATTCTGCTTTTTCTAGAAGTTATCATTTTATCCCTAGAATTTTTCAGAATACATCAAACGATGCAGCATTTAATTTAGTTCAGCACCAGTTCTCCATCCCTTGTTCATACGTCATAATGATAAATAAGTCCAGAGGAAAAATTATAAACAAAGTCAGCCTCTTTCTGCCTAAGCCGTGTTTTTCGAATAAGCAATTACACACAGAATGTTCAAGAGCAATTGATTCCAATTTTTTAAAAATTCAAGGAAAAAATTTTTAGGGGTTTTTTGGAAAATATGGATGATAAAAATATTTTAACAAACAATGTTGTTTATTGGCAAATTTTTCATTCTAAATTGTTAAATAATGTTAATGCATAGTTGTAATGAAAATATCTGTTAAATAATTCTAAATTACTAAAAAAAATAGTTCTTTAATTAAATTTTATATCACATCTATATAAGTAACATTGACACATATTTTATTTTACAATTCTTTAAATCGAAGTCGTTTCTAATTAAAAGAAAAAGAAATATTTCCATTAGCATTCACACCAATTTCATATAATATGCTTATGTAGGTAAACCTTTATATGCATAAATAGCCATTGCCTAAACACATTTTAAAACTGACTGAAAGTGGAATTTCCACAATCCCGCTATTTTTACAGACATTTTCAAAAAGGACGATCAAATACAGTCGAATACTGCTTTTTAAAAATCAATATGAACACAACTATAACATATAAGGTAGTTTATCAGCAAACCGCAGGAGCCCGTATTTAACATAAAAGCATTGTATACGTGTGACATTTTTTACTGTACTCGAAAATAAAAGCTAATGTGGCAAGGGAAATGAAAAATTTATTCAAAAATAATGTTTGAAGAAAAAGTTGAAGTGCTTTGTTGGACTAAATAAAGGGAAATAAAGTTACCCATTTGGAAATAAAGTTACACTTTTGGACACTAAAGTCCAAATGGGTAACTTTATTTCCCTTTTTGAAAAAAATTATGTATTCTTAAGTTGAAAATTTCGTAAGTCTAATTAAGAGTGCAACTTTTTTTTTAAAATACAAACAATAAGTTTTTGACTGCAAAAATTTTTAATATTGCATGACTGTAAAAACTTTAAAGTCATAAAATTTTTATATATATGTACATTTATGGAATTCCTTTCATAGATACCTCGCGTATTAAACTTCGCTCTTTTTGCTAAAATAGTTTTTTCTACTGAAAAGCGAAATTGTAACATTACTGCCTGAACTCATGTTGAAATGTACACTTTATTGCGTGTATTAATATGCAAGTGTTTTGTTTGAGAATACGAGTATTACTTTCGTTCTCTTCTCTTTGCTTTCAGTTGTTTTGTTTTTGTCTAATGTATCAATTGAATACAAAACACAAAATAGTGACTGTATTTTACCCTTTTGCTTAGGCTTTTAATTTTTTTCATATTGTTTTTATCAACCGCATTAAATACAATACGGGAGGTTACGTGATGGTAGTAAATTTTGCATATCGTGCTTTTGGTGGGAACATACTTCTCCATAGTACGGAGCGTAAATAAAGTATTTTTAGAGAGATGTTGGTTTCCCGGTCTGTCTGTTATCTGTTTGTGTGTGCACACGTGTATCACAAGTACGGCTGAACCGATTTTTATGAAATTTTATTGTTAATTAAGTTTGTTTTGGCTATATCAAGAATTGACGAACTCTTGGATATATCAGGCCTTGGAAACTAGACTTTTTAGCGGGCTAATTTTAGATGTTTTCCCATATGAAGAGAAGTCATAAACTAATTTCCTTGAAATTTAATCTTTAAATTTGGAGTGTTAAAGTTATGAGCATATAATTTTTTTGGAAAGATCAGGGCTTGGAAACTGATTTGGGGGCCGATTTTACATTTTTTACTATATCTACGCAACTAATTAATGGAATTTCTTGACATTTGATATTTCAGCTCTGGTTGTTACCAAAACTAACTGGCAAGCATTTCAGAGAATTCGGGTAGCACAAAGCGAAACTCTACTAAGAGCCAAACTTACATTTTTCTAAGTATGTTAACTAAAAGCTTACTAGCGCCCTAAAAATTGGAAAGAAGTGTTTAAAGATGTTCTTATAGTCTTCGGTAACACTTTCCCTTAACTAAACTATACACATTGCAGTCAGTTATGTGGTGATCACATCAGATTTTTGTTTTTGTATTTCTTTTTGCTATAAATGAATATATTGTAAAAACATTCAAAGGCGGAATCGCAAGAAACAGAAGTTTTTTTACGATTTAGGCAGACGGGACTTTATAACACTAAAATTAAAAATTTTCCAATTGAATAATAAGAGTTTTTTTTATTAATTTTAAAATTTTTTGCTATATGATTTTCTTTTAAATATATTTTTCCCATTTCATTAAACAAAACAATAAGATTTTGAACCAAAAAAACAAAACTCAATTCTGGAATTGGCAGGGCGAAAGTGTTTAGAAATGTTTAAATATTGTTCTACGTTTTTTATACCCGTACGAACATATGTTCGAAGGGTATACTAAATTTGCCTTACCGTTTGTAACGCTAAGAAATAACGGTGTTAGATATAGACTCAAGTGTATGTTTTTGATCAGCGTCAAATTCTGAGTTGATTTAGCTTTGTCTATCCGTCCGTCCGTCCGCCCGTCCGAACGATAACTCAAAAACTAATTGAGCTAAGTTCACCAAATTTTCACAGATGATTTATTGTAGTAATTGCCAGAACCCTATTTAAATTGGCCGTGATCGGGGTACCGGTTCGGGTAGCTGCCATACAACTTCAAAATTTATTTGGCTATATCTCAGAAACTATAAAAGTTGTGGTATTGAAATTTCACACAAACGAATATATTGATAGGGACAACGTGTCTGATAAAAGTCGTTGAAATTACTTGGCTCCTTCTAGTACCTGCCATACAACTTTAAAAGTTATTTGGCTATATCTCAGAAACTATAAAAGCTATGGTATTGAAATTTCCCACAAACGAATATATTGGTAGGGCCAATGTGTCTCATAAGAGTCGTTGAAATTATTTGGCTCCTTCTAGTACCTGCCATACAACTTCAAAAGTTATTTGGCTATATCTCAGAAACTATAAAAGCTGTGATTTCACACAAGTGAATATATTAGTAGGGCCGATGTGCTTGATAAAATTCGCTAAAATTTCTTTGCTCTTTCTCGTAGCTGCCATACAACTTCAATAGTAGTTTGGCACAACCGGAAGTTGGAAAAACACATAGTACTGAAATTTTGCATAAATTAATATGATAATACGGCAACTTTAAGTCATAGTCTGCCCCATATTTAGTTATGGCACATTAGTTATTCGCACATAGTATAACAAATTCGTACGGGTATCACAGAGTTGACAAGGTCAACTCTATTTTTTTCTCGTTTTTACCTATGAAGCTTCTTTCCGTATTACAAATTTTAAATAAATTTCAAATCTCAAAACAGTCTTTTTTTATTGCAATTCAACCATAAATCTTAATTTGCATTAGTAGAGCTAACATCTTAGTAAAAATATTGAATAACTGAAGATGGCCAGTTTTTATTAAAATAATTCATGCTTAATGAAAACTATAGTTTATATTTAAGCAAAAGAATTCCTAACTTTAATTGAGACGCAGTCTTGAAAATTTCTAAAAACTCAGTGATTTAGGCTTATAAAAGTTTTATAGAATTTGAAGTAATTTTTTTCCCACATCACATAATGTGTAAGCATCAATTGTCAACGAGCACAAGAAAAACAGTCAAAGAAATTTTATAATAAAATTTTTAAATTTAACTTATTTTATTTACTAGTCTGAAAATAAAAGCCATTACGAAAGTACAAAATGAATTATGCATATATTATGCAAAATATGAATTAATGCAAGCATAGAAACACTGAAAGGATTATTGTAACACTTTAGTTGTAACTAAACAAATCGTTCCAATTATTTATTTTAATAAATAAACATTTAAAACAATATGTTCACAATATAAGTAAATATAATATACAAGCAGAAATTTTGAATAAAACTTGTAAAAAGTGTTTAATGTATAAATTTTTATTACCAGATTCTTCTTCTGTGTAGTTTTTAAGTCCTAAAATGGAATCAATTGAATGACTTGGTGTGATGGTTTGTCCTGGTCCCAGTTTCTTATATGTATCTTTTACTATCAGACTATTATCTGCAATTAAAGTTATAGATATACATAGTTAATGCAAAACTGTTATATATTATATATAAATAATTTTTTAGTTTGCATAATATTATGTAGCCGCATAGTTGCATAGTACCTATTAAATAATTTTAATATATGTGTAAATGTATTCTTTTAAACGACATGTCGTAATTTATTACACATTACACTACACATTTTCGCTCATATCTAGGAATAATGAACTTTGTTAATACGAAATAAACTTTTTGTAGAGATTTAGTACCATGAACTACACAGATCAAACTATAGATGAGATATAAAATGAGACGAATTTTTTAATTCCCATATACGTATAAGCATTTTAGACAATAAGCTATTAATTTTATATTATTTTATTATTTTAATGCAATCTAAAACAAGTTTACATATTAGTCTCTTGTGTAAGTCCTTTATTGGTTAATGCTAGAATATTTATTGGCCTTTATTTATAAATATATATATTATATTATACAAGCCAAATTCATATAGGTCGTGAAGGGTATATTAACTTTGGTATGGAATTTGTAACTACTTGAAGAAGTCATCTGCGGTATGGACATATATATACATTCTTGCTCAGCAAAAAATTCTGCTTTGATTTAGACATATCCCTCCTTCCGTCTGTCCGATCGCACAATAACTCAAAAACGAATAATGCAATCGACAACAAACTTTCACAAATTGTTTCTTTTGTGCCAAAGACGAACCCTATATATATAACTTGGCTAATTCGCACAACGAATTCGGGTAGCTGTCATACAACTGAAGAAGTTTATCTTAAATATTTCAAAAAGTAATAAAGTTATAAATATAAAATTTTGTATACATGTGTCCAATCATATTCTACACATGCTCTAAAAATTTTTATGGGATGGCTGCACCGGTTCGGTTGGCTGCCATACAACTCCAAAAGCAAATTTTTTATATTCGTAAAAATAATAGAGTCAGATTCATGAGACTTGGCAGTCATATGTCCAATTATAGATCAGACATATTTCTGAAGTTTTAGTGGAATTGCTTGACAGGTTCGGGTACCTAACAAACAACTCCAAGAGCTAATTTTAAATATTTGAAAAAATAATGAAGTCAGATTCATGAAACTTGGCAGTTGTGTGTCCAGTTAAGGATTAGATATATTTATATATTTTTGAAGTTTTGGTTGAATTGCTTAACAGGGTCGAGTCCATACAAGTCCAAAAGCTTTTTTGAAATATTTGGAAAAATAATAAAGTCAGATTTATGGAACTTGGCAGTTGTGCGTCCAGTTATAGGTCAGACATATCCGTGAAGTTTCTATAGAATGCTGTCATAGGTTTGAGTAATTACTATACAAAACGAAAGATGCCGGGTATAATTCAATCGGTTTATACCGACTCAATATATTATATTTCATTTTATATAAATCAAAAAAAGTAACAAGAAAAGGCAAAAACAAAATTTCGTAAAAAATTCCCTTTAATGCTTAAAAAAGGAAATTCCCAGAAAATTGTTCTGATTTAATTTAAATAGGAACAGAATGATGTTTCGATCGGCTTTAAAACAAAAAAAAGTCTCTAAATTTATTTTTTGAGTTAATTTTAATAAATTTTACTGCATAATTGTAACTCAAGAGAGGATGTAAAACTTTAAGAGAAATAGGTGAAACAGTGAGCAGAAGATACAAAGAGTGATCAACAATTTCAAAAAAACATGTACATTAGTCTCTAAGCCTGTCCTGGTCATCCATAAAAATTAACGCCTAGAGAAAAACGTGATATCAAGAGAGTAAAAACCAAAAATAGCAGCTTCGGAAATTTTCAAAAATATAAATTACAATTTTAGCAAAAACATTTGTGCTGATACTCTCAGAAAAATTCTCAAAAAGGAATTCTCAAAAATTCTCTTCTGAGTTTAAAGACTGAATTTCATGTAGAAAACCATTTATGTCGATAATAAATCATTTAAAACGATCAAAATAGTTAAGAAAAATAGTTATAGTTATTGCTTGACAGGTTCGAGTAGCTCTCATACAAGTCTAAAAGTTTATTTTAAATATTTAGAAAAATAATAAAGTCAGATTCATGAAACTTGGCAGTTGTGTGTCCAATTATAGATAAGATATATTCGCGAAGTTTTAGTGGAATTGCTTGACAGGTTCGGATACCTGCCATACAACTCCAAAAGCTAATTTTAAATATTTGTAAAAATGATAAAGTCAGATTCATGAAACTTGGCAGTTGTGTGTCCAGTTATAGGCCAGATACTCTTCTGAAGTTTTGGTTAAATTGCTTGACAGGTTCGAGTCCATACAAGTCCAAAAGCTTATTTGAAATATTTGAAAAAATAATAAAGTCAGATTCATGAAACTTGGCAGTTGTGCGTCCAGTTATAGGTTTGGGTAATTGCTATACAACAACGAAAGCTGCAGGGTATAATTCAATCGGTTTATACCTATCAGAATAAATCATTTAAAACGATCAGAATTTGCAAAAATGCATATTAATATACCGCTCAGGTTCTGGGAAAAAGCTATATTTTCAGATTAGAGCAAATTTTGTATTTGTGGGAAAAAAGGACGCCAGGTGGTGTGGCGCATATATGGTACAGCTCTAAACGAGAAAAATTTACTACCAACAGTCAAACATGGTGGTGTAGGAGAATTGAAATTTATAGAATCGACTACGAAGAAAAAGTGCTATTTAGATTTTTTAAAACAAATTTTAATAAAATTGGGTCAAACCAATGGTATGTATTGTAGCACTTTTCCATTAAACAATTCGTAAAAATACTGCTTTTAAACACAGTCTAGTATATCTACCACACTATTAAAAATATTTTCATTCATATACGAAACTACGATTTATATCAGTCTTTGAAATAAAACTAAAATTAATTTAAAGAGGGCTTGACATAATGCTCAATTTTAAGGGTTAATTACGTAAGCTAAAAAAAATAGTTATATTTTTTAATGTCATGAAATTTACCGTTAGAAGTTTGAAAAAGCTTGCAGTTTCGGAAATATAAGGCGTCGAAAATTCAAATTTTACAAATTTCAAGAAACGATAACTTGGGAGGGGGTGAAGATGGGAAAAAATTTTCTTCTAACGAAATGAATTCTTTGTTAATGTCTAAAAGCTCCTAAAATTTCAAAGTTCTTCAGGCTGGGGTCTTGAAGAAAAATGACATCAAGAATTTGGAAAAAAACGACTTAAGATAACGGTAAATTTGAACGGCCATTTTGTTTTTCTGAAGTTTAACACTAAACATACCATAACGGGTCAAATGACCCATTTTGAACTTTTGCATTGGAAATGCACGTATAATTTTATTGCGGTTGCACATTTGACTTCATGACTTTTTCTAAGTAATTAATGTACAGTTATAACAATTTTTTTTGTTTGTTTTGTTTTGTTTATTCTGAGTAATTCTTGTTGTATACCGATATCTACCACAACGGGTCATTTGACCCGCTATGGTAAAAATAGGTATATATTAAGTCTTGGTATGATTAGTGTTAACTATAGTATGCCACGATAGAGGAAGCAAGCCACTGCCTTTCTGCGTTTGCAAAATTTCTAAAATACTTACGGTTTCATTGCAACAAATAGTTAAAAAAGGTCATATTCAGGGTTTTGGGGGGCTATAACTTTTAGAGGGGGTGAGATAGGTAAAAATTTTGTTTTACGGAAATAAGTTTTTAGTAAAGGTCTTTGGACATATAAAATTTCAGCTTTCTATCTTCAAGGGTGTAAAAGTTTTGTAAACATGTCCACGGACGGACGGACAGAGTGAAACTAATAAGCACTTTATTTCAAAAAATGTTTGGAAAAGTGCTAAAAAAGGTGTTGAGAAATTGAATCTACAGGAGGAATATCAATTTCAGCACGATTATGATCCTAAACATACCGCTGGTATTGTGAAGCTGTGGTTACTTTATAATATGAAAAAACAGATGCACACACCACCCCAATAACCCGACTTGAATCCAATAGAATATTTATAGAATTTATTGGAATATAAAACTCGCGAATGGTACATAACTTCCAAAAGTGTGCTAAAAGATGTTTTAAAAGAAGAATGGTCCGAAATCAAAGTTAAAGAAAATACAAAAGTTGCTCATTCGATGCCAAAGTTGCTGCGTGAAATTTTAAAAAAAAAAAGGATACCCAACTTTCTGTTAGTTTTATAAATTACGTAAGTGACTATAAGTAATGTGATCTTGTACGTAGAGCTTTTATACATTTATTATACAAAAAGAAATAATATATTTTAAAAAGTTGAAAAAAAAATTTTAAATTAACTACACAATTAAGCTTTTTTCAATGCAAATAATGTATCAACGTTTGGTGTATGCAGATTTTTCTGCATATAATAGTTAAGGTTTGATTGGTATATAGTCGATGTGAGTGATACATCCGAAAGTAAATAAAACAAGAAATACGGGACAAGTATACATTTTTGGGCATACAGTTCATGTTCATTGCAAATCATTACTTATTGATTGACTATAATGAGCAGTGTGGGTATATGAAAGTAACTTTTTGTATTTTGCGAGCTAACGGCATATCTTATCTAAGTTTTGGTTTTCCTTCCTTCATTAAATTAATTTTATATATGTAGCACTTTTACTTATATATATACTAAGAGAAATCTAAATAGTAGGATTGCACCTGTGATAACTCGCTCACAGGTGATTTTGTTTTACTGTTTTCAGAAATATTTAAAATTAGTGTGATTCGTACTAAGGGCTTCTAGTTATTATTTACAATAAAGCAGTTTAATGTACAACACACGTGATTCACATATACCTTAATCAAATTATGCGTCATATTGCTTACCTGGAAGTGTTTATCAAAGGGTAGTGAAAATTAACAAAAAAAATACACGTCTGCACACCATTTATCAATTGACCTTTAAACAGGTTAAGTTTTATTTTATTAAATTAAAAATTTTCTTTAAAGCGGATATACTTGTTTTCGAGATACAAAAAAAAATCTGTATCGCCTCTGAAAAAAAAAATGTACCGGATTTTTCCTTCTTCTTCTTCTTCTGCCTATTCGATTTCGAATGTTGGCGATCTACTTGACTTATGCAATGTTGTTTATTATTCCGTTAAACGTTGTTCGGTCTTTTGCTGATGTCATCAATTCCGTTATATTTCTTAAGCCCGTCCAATTTCTAATATTTCTGAGCCACGATATTTGTTTTCTACCAATTCCTCTTTTTCCATGGATTTTGCCCTGTATTATCAGTTGTAGTTGGTGATACTTCTCATTTCTCATAATATGTCCCAAGTATGCTGTTTTTCGGCGCTTGATGGTTGTAAGTAATTCACGCTTTCTGTTGACTCTTCTCAGCACTTCAACATTGGGCACTTTATCTGTCCAAGGAATTTTCAGAATTCTTCGGTATAACCACATCTCGAAAGCTTCAATTCTATTCATATCATCCACTTTCAGAGTCCATACTTCCATTGCATACAACAACACTGACCATATGTAACATTTTATGAATCTGACTTTCAGTGTTAAATTGAGATCATGGCTGCAAAGCACTTTTTTGTATTTAAAGAACATGGCTCTAGCAACTTCAATCCTGCATCTAATTTCATCTGAAGAGCCCCAATTTTCGTTAAGCCAGCATCCAAGATATTTGAACTTGGCCACTCTTTCTAATGTCTTGTTTTCTATAGTAAGATTTGTATTGTTGAATGTGTTTTTCCTACTCACTATCATATATTTTGTTTTGTCGATGTTGATGAGTAGACCGAATTGCTTACTGTGGTGGTTTACTTTATTTATCAACGTTTGCAAACCCTCTAAGCTTCCTGCTATCAAAGTTGTATCATCAGCGTATCTTATGTTGTTAATATTGATACCGTTTACTTTGATACCCTCATCTACATCATTGAGTGCTTCCTTAAATATGTGCTCTGAATAGATATTAAAAAGTAGTGGTGATAGAATGCAGCCCTGTCTTACGCCTCTAAGAATTTCTACCTCTTTTGTTGTTTCAGTTTCAACTTTGACCTCAGCAGTTTGTTTCCAATATAAGTTTCGGATACAGTTAATTTCTTTTTGATCGATGTCAATGGTTTGCAAGATTTCGATCAATTTATCGTGCTGTACCCTGTCAAAGGCCTTTTCAAAGTCTATGAAGCAAATAAATACATCCTTTTGCACATCTTTACAATTTTCTACCAAAACTTTTGTACAAAATAAAGCTTCACGTGTGCCCATTCCTGCTCTGAAACCAAATTGAGACTTTCCCATGGCTGTTTCACATTTTTTATATATTCTGTTCTGGATGACTTTAAGAAATATTTTCAGGGTATGGCTCATTAGACTGATAAGCCTGTATTCTGCACACTTTTTCGCGTTGGTTTTCTTTGGCAAGGTGATGAAGGTCGATTTTAGCCAATCATTGGGGTATACTCCTGTGTCATATATTTTATTGAACAACTTTACTAATATTCCCAAGTTTTCTTCATTTATTAGTTTTATTATTTCAGCTGGGACTTCATCAGGGCCCGTAGATTTATTATCTTTGGCCAACTTGATGGCTTGTTCAATTTCCCTTTTCATGATTGGTTGACCTGTTAGATTTTCTGTTGTTATATCAGGTAAAATTGATCTGTTGTTGTCTGAAAATAGATTTTTGATGTATTCCTCCCAAACTTGCTTTTTTACGTCCATTTCATGAACCATCTTGTTTTCGTTGTTCACTAGGAGAGATGGAGTTTTCTTCCTGTAGATACCAGATACCTCTTTTAGTTTTTTATGAAGGTTGAAGTCGTCATGGGCTTGTTGCAGTCTTTCCATTTCATCACACTGCTGGTTGAGCCAGTCTTTCTTGGCATTCCTGATTTTTCTTTGGATGACTGCATTTAACTGTTTATATTTTTCTGGATTGATGTTTCTATACTTTCGTCTCTCTTCCATCAATTCTATTATTTCGCCTGTCATCCAGTTGTTATTTGAGACGTGTTGTTTTACACCCAGCTTTGATTTTGCAACTTGATTCAAAACCATTTTGGTTTTTGTCCAGATGCTGTTTATGTCATCTGTTTCCAAATCGATTTCACTGAGCCTTCGATTGATTTCAACGGATGTTATATTATTTGTCGAGTCATCTTTCAATCCAGCTACATTAAGTTTCTGTCTCTGTGGGGTTTTTCGAAAGACCGCTAGCTTTGTTTTAATATTAGCTAGTAAAAGGTTGTGATCTGCCGTCAAATCGGCACCCGGGTAAGTGCAGACCCTCGAAACGAAGGAACTAAATCTTTTGTTAACTATTATGAAATCTATTTGGTTTCGGACAATATATGGTTTACTATCTTGTGGCGACTTCCATGTATATAGCCTTCTTGGGGGTAATCTAAACCACGTGTTGGTGACTTTCATATTGTATTCTTGGCAGAATTGAACCAGTCTGTCTCCTCTTTCGTTTCTTTCACCCAAACCAAAAGGGCCAATGACTCCCTCTACTTTAGTAGAGCCAACCTTGGCGTTAAAGTCACCCAATACGACATTAAGTTCGTGTGGCTTAGTTATTTTCAGCAGTTCTTCTATGTTGTTGTAGAATTCTTCAATATCTTCATCACTTTTGTCAGCTGTTGGTGCATATACCTGAATTAGATTGATGTTAACAGGTCTTGCATTGATTTTGAGTAGCATCGCTCTGTCAGACTTAGGAATAAATAGTGAAACACATTTCGCGGCGGTACCTCTTACAATTATACCCACTCCATTCCTATGGTTTTTATTCTGATTACCGGAATAGTAAATTGTTGCATCACCCTTTCGGAACTCTCCAGCACCTGGCCACCACGTTTCACTAATACCGAGTACATCGATGTTCAGCCTCATCATTTCTAACATTGCATTATCAATCTTACCAGCCTCATACAAGCTTTGAACATTCCATGTTCCGATGTTTAATTTTTTAGTTATTTTTCCTGCATATAAATAAATACTTAAAACTTTGAAACCATGCGACATAGAGTAATCGGGGATTTGTTTTACAGATGACTGGTTAAAAAAAGTCATATTTGCTTCTTTTTTTAAATCGAAACTTCTCGAAAATTTGTGTTATATTATGAAATACAAAAGTTGACCCATATCATATTTTCCCCTGTCTCTAATAGCTTTGCAGTAAAATGTGTTAAATGTGTCTAAAAAACATGCGAAAAAGGCATACTTCACACATTTCATACAAATTCCCTTATTATATATACCAACATTTTAAACTAGAATACTTAGTGCATGTTATGTTTTATTACCTAAATTCAG